CTTCTCTCTTCTCTCTTCTCTTTCTCTCTCTCTCTCTCTCTCTCTCTCTCTCTCTCTCTCTCTCTCTCTTTCCTTTGTCCTCCCTTCCTTCCTTTCGTGCTGACTTCCTCACAGGTCCAATCCCTCTCTGCCTGTATATCAGTTTCTATCTAACTTAGCTGTCCATAATATTCCCCTCTCTGAAGAGGTCCCTCTGCCATTAGGGAAGAATGGGTGAAGTTTCATTGGTGTACAGGAGGCAGCTGTCAGGGGTTTGCATTGAATATCATGACAGCTATACAGTAAACTTCACATATATTTAGTTTTTACTCTCAAGGCAAATTGAGACCCTTTTAATAGGTTTATAGTGACAATAACTAAAGGACATCTTTGGAGCTTGTAAAAATTTAGGAAGCAGTATTAAAGACTCTGAATAGATTTATTACCCAATATCAAAGTGTATATCATTTATACAATAACAAAATGCTTGTTTAATCAAGGCTGATAGATGCAAATTAAGTTTTAAATGACAGGACTAGAATTAAAGGAATACCAAACTTTGATTATTTTATATGTCTAAAGTCTAGATGCAGATTGTATAAAAGACAGCAATTATTAGCTATTTTGTATGTGTTAAGCTTATGTATCTTACTGTATAAACCTAACTCTAAAGTTTAGACTCACAACCAACTTGTTGCACTGCTGGTGTAGTGGTATGGTGCAAGATTCCCACAACCACCTTGTTTTTTAGTTGTATTTCTAGTCTTAGATATGTAGGTTGTATCATAAACTAATAATTGTTCATTAACCAGTCATAAACTTATTATTGAAAACATTTCATAGGTTAACATTTAAATAATCTTTAACTCTTAAGATTCAGTTTTTCATAATCAAAAGCCTAACAACAGAAAATGCAAGAGATTATCTTAGTAAAATATAGAACCTTTGCTTTTTTAATCTAGTTTTTTAAGTTTAACCAATAGGTATCTTAAAATCTTATTGCTTTAGACATAGAAACCTTGATCTTTTAATGATAGCCAACTTAAATATATTAATATATTTAATATAATCAGTATTAAATATATTAATATTTAATAGATATTAAAATGATGTAATTAATAATGTCTGTTGTGGTATGCCATCACAAGACTCGGGGAAAAATGGAGAAGTCCCATGAGTGGATGGAAACTGAACAAACTGTTTCACCAAGCTGCTGTTTTTAGTCACAAAGGGGCATTTTGTCCAGCAGTTCCAAGTTTAAGGGATCCCCACTTAGTCATCTTGATAATTACTTTAGATGACTCATGAAAACCAAATCATACCAGTTAACAGTACCTAAAGATATACATATATAGTATGTATAATTTTTGACAAAGGAAAACTTGAGATTTTGTGCATAGATAATAATAGACATTGCATTTATAAAACTAATTTTTATATTGTTTTGGTTGTCTAGTAACCTGGATGGAAATATATCACCAATTTTTAAAATATCCTTACTCTTATCAACCAATTTAAATTAGCCTATTGGTAAGATATATCAACCACAAGCATTTGGGCTAATATCTTGAGTGTCTATTTCTCTCTATTCCAATTCAAACTGAACATCTATTTGAAAATTGACATATAGAAGCACACATTAATCTAATCATATATAACCTTTATGTTATCAATCTTTATGGATTTTATTTGTAAGTCCTATGTAAGCCTGGAGCCTACTGGCCCTCATCTGGTAATTTTCTAAATGAGTTTGGCTAGAAGAGCTATACAACCAGTGTTCCATGGAAATACCCAAAACAGCCAGAAGTTTGTAAGGGCAAAAATAAAAGGAAAAACAAAATTGATATGAGCTCAAATAATCTATCTTTTTCTTTCTTTCTTCCTTCCTTCCTTATTTTTTTTTTTTTTTCTCTTTTTGAAACAGGGTTTCACTATGCAGTTTAGGCTAGCCTTGAACTCACTTTGTAGCCCAGGATGGTCTTGAACTTGCAGCAATCCTCCTGCCTTAGCCTCCGAGTGCTGGGATTACAGGTGTGTGTCACCACGCCTGGCTCCTAGAAAAAAATCTTTACTGAAGCAATTGTAGGTATTTTAACTGGTTATTAACAGATTAAACAGGTAGACTGATAAACATATCGAACACACAAAACAATTACTTTGAAATCACAGTACATTCTTAGATGTATTGGCTAAGTTGAACTACAATAATCCTTTTACAATTTTAGGTCTGTAATTATCAATAGGCTAGTTATAACTTATCCTATAGGTCATCAATTAGCTGAGATCTCTCGTAATAAGTTATGAATCAGAAGGGGGAAAATCTCTTGTACATTTGTGAAAGCAAGGAATGGTTTTTTTGTTTGTTGGTTTTTCTTTTTTCTTTTTGAGACAGGGTTTCTCTAGGCAGTTTAGGCTGGTCTTGAACTCACTTTGTAGCCCAGGCTGGCCTTGAACTTGCAGCGATCCTCCTGCCTCAGCCTTCAAGTGCTGAGATTACAGGTTTGTGCCACCATGTCATGCCTCAGGAATGTTTTAAGAAGAACACTAGGCTCTGTGATAGTTACTATAGTAAACTCTTCTTCTGATAGCCCCTGCTTTAGATAGCCATATGTAAATGTTACCTGTACAGGGACAGATTGTTAAAGGTGCAGTGTTGTCATTTATACACTTTCTTTTGGCAACTATTTTATTTCTCAGGAGATGCCCAGGCCAGATAGAAAGAGACAAGGCACTTTATTGGAGCTTACTGAGTATGTATAGTATTTCAAAGGGTGGGGCAAGTTGAAGGTCTGCCAAGGTATCAACCTCCTTGCTGCAAATGTCCACCCACAACAGTTTTTTCCTCCTTATGAAAAGAGACGAGAGGAACAGAGGGGTCCCTGCTTATCCCCGCTTGTTTTTCACTCTTTACCTAAGACATCTCTTAGGTTTGACCCTGTCCAGCTCCAGCAGTGGCAAGCTGGAGATACTCGAGGAAGTGGCCAAAACTGGGCTGTTCGTGCTGGCACTTTCTTCCTTGTGATCCTCGTGATCCACTTTTGTTTAAAACTGTTATCAAACTCATGAGCGTCTCCAGGGATGTTTGCTCTTCCATCACTGAAATCATTTTTGCTGTAATGGCCCTCGCCTAAACCAATCAGCCTGCCCAGTCCTAGCAGCATTCCTGAGGGAAGGGGAGATGAAAAGGGGGAGTGGAGATATTCCCTAGTTTCCAGCCCTCTCCTAAGGGCAGAAAGCTGGGCAGAATGGGATTCAAACTTTTTCAGTTATTCGTTGAGAGTTAGAGGATTAAATCTGGACAAGTTTTTAAGAATCTGGTGCTAGGGTAAGTCAGAGGGAATACAAAATGCGAAACACGGGTGGTCAGACCCTGAAGGATCACGAGGGGTAAACTCACCATCCTGGAGATGGAAGACCGGGTCACTCGAGAATGGTGGAATCTGGTCAGCCACAGGGAAGAGACTCGCCCTAGACAAACTGATCTGCATTATTTCTCAGGGGAAGGGCAGTGGAGATGGGAAAGAAGAGTGCCTGATCCAACAGTAACTCCATGCAGCACAAGGAACTCTTACATCTCCCTAGTGTCAAAAGGAGGGACCATTGCCTTGTTTTTAACTGGCCAACCAGCCAGCCAGCCTCTGCCCAAAGTGTAGGGGCAGGACTACCTGACACAGCCTGGGGACAAAACCCTTTCCTAGCAGAGCAGCAGGGCAGGACCTTCACCGCAATAAATCCAAGACCTCAAGATTATTCTCAAGTCTTAAGAGCTTAAGTGATTTGCCTTGTATTTTGGAGTAATTTGGCAAAAGGTGAAAGATTCCTAAGATATGAAGACAAATAGGAATATTAATTTGGACTTGAGAGCTTCAAGTTCTATGGGAACTTCTAGTTCTATGGGAAAGGGAATGTCCACCCTGTTTTTCTCACCATTGTATTTTAGACTCACATAACACGTTTGGTCTTGTAACTGGTTCACTGCTGAAGAGCCGCAGAACAAATGGTACCTGTAATGTTACCAATATCCGATATTTACTATTTAGACTTTGGATTTAAAGTTGATCCTGGAACAAATTAAGACTTTTGGGGCTGTAGGAATGGAATGAAAGCATTTTGCATGTGAAAAGGTCATGAAAGGGGGTAAGGCTGCGTTACGGTTTGTGTCTGCATGTACCCCCAAATTCTCATGCAGTCATGGGGCAGGCTTCTAGATATTTGATTGATCCATAATTCAGTGTTGGAATTACGGATGTGAGAGCTACACCTGCCCTGGGGCGGGTAGTTTGCGTACAGTGTAAGGGAGAGGAAGAGGCTGCTTGCCACCTCTCCTCCCTTTTGCTCTTGTTGCTTTTGCCCTTTTCTGCCACCATGAACTGTTGCCCTCTGCCGTGTGCCACTCTGCCTTGGAACCAGCCGAGTAAGGACTGAAACTTCCACAAACTGTGAGCTAGGTAAACCTTTCCTTCCTTAATTCTGGGCATCAGGTATTTTGTCTCAGCAACGAGAGAAAAGTAACCGAGACAGGCTGGGATGCAATAGACAGAATGTTTGCACGTCCCCAAATTCATGCATTGATTGAGGTGATTGGTCATGACAGTGGAGCTCTCATGGAAGAAATTGGTGTCCTCAGAAAAAAACATGCTGGGACGCTCACCCCTTTCACCAGGTGAGGAGGACACAGGAAGATATGAACCAGGAACTGAATCTGCCAGCATCTTGATCTTGAATTTTCCAGCCTCTAGAATGGTGACAAAAGGTATTTATAAGCCATCAAGTTTTTGGTGCTTTTGTTGAAACAGCCTTAATATGACACCAGCAATATGACACCAGCCTTAATATGACACCAGCAATAACACATTCTATGTCTTAAATGGCGTAAGGGATTGTAGGCTTATTTTTAGTTATAGTTTATGATATTTATTGCTATCTGATGAAAAATAATATATTAAACACATACATTTATGAGATATATATATGTATACAGAAAACACTGTTTATAGGTAACTTTTGTTTTCTATCATCTTTCCAGGTACTGTATTTTCTGTGCATTACAGAGAATGCTATTTCTTCTTAAGGTTATTTTCTCCTTATCTTAACAATGCATACACATTGAGTAAACATAAAAACTTTTCCTAACACTTGGCTCTAGTGATTTTTCCTATTGTTTGTAAATTTTGTCTATGTTGATCCAGATATTTAACATTTGATAAGGATCATTTAATTATTAAAGAGGAATCTGTCTTATATATAAGGAGAAATATCTGGAAGAGATTATTTAAAACAGTGATGTGACATCTATAAAAGGGAATACTGCTGCATGCTGCAGAATAATTGACACTTATTGATATATTAACATCTTAGACGGATTTGAAAGATATTATGCTAAGTTACTTTTTCCTCATAGCTGAGACAAAATACCTAACACTCAAAGTTAAAGGAGTAAAGGTTTACTGTAGCTTACAGTTTGTAGAGCTTTCAGTCCATTATCAGCTGGCTCCAAGGCACGACAGCATGGCAGAGGGGCATTGCAGAGGAGATACAGTTCTTGGCAGGCAGAAGGCAGAACAGCGAAGTAGCAAACAAGCAGCATGTTCCTTATAGATCATCGGGCTATTTGCCCTTAGTACAGGTAGCACTCACACACTGGGTGGGGCACCCTTAATTCCAGCATCGCACACCCTAGATCCAGCCACCTCCAAAAGTCCCACTTATGACAGCATGAGGCTTTGGGAGGACATCTAGATACAAGCCATAAGAGTTACCTACTATGTGAGTCCACTTTTATAACATTCTTGAAAAAACATAAATATAGCAGGAAATAAATTAGTTCTTGCCAGAGAATGCAGAGAAGGAGTGTAATTTGGTGTAACAATAAATGTGTGGTACCACAATTCAAGAATGCTTAAAAAGGCAGCACAGGGTACACACAAATTAGTACATGTAAAACCTGGTGAAATCTAAGATTAGTGATTAATTTTTCACTTATGTCAACTTCCTGGGTTTGTTGGACTATAGTTATTCACTTAGATTTTTTGAGGGAAGGTCTTGCTGTGTAGTTCACACTGGCCTCGAACTCAGTGACCTTCTTGCCTCAGCCTCCCAAGTGCTGGGACTCCAGGTGTGAGCTACCCTGCCCAGCCTGTTGCAGTATACTGTATTTAAAATGTTTACCCTTGAGGGAAGCTGAGTGAAAAGTACATTCACAATTTCCTGCGAGTCTATAATTATATCAAAGTAAAGGAAAAAGTCAAACATAAATATAATTATATATAATATACATTATATAAACATATATATAATTATATCAAAGTAAAGGAAAAAGTCAAACATAAATATAAGCTCATTAAATATTTTATCTTTGAAAACATCCATCTACTGTGTATGGCTCTATAATTTGCACTCATTAACTTTCATGATTCTGAAACAGAGATTATAAACTCTATTTTATATTTATCACAAATGAGATTTTGGTTAACTAAGTCGTCCATGACACAGGTAAGGTTAGCTTTAATCTAGAACAATCTAAACCTCTTTCATGAGTAGGTTAACTGAATCATGATTGTCTTCACTTGGATAACCCTGCAGGCTATTCTCATTAACAAAGATGAGAGCACTTTATAGTTGCCATTTTCTGTTAAAAAAAAAAAAAGCCTTCAATTATTATTATTTTTTTTTTTTTTGGTGCCAGGAATCGAACTCACAACCTCACGCTTGCCAGGCAGGCGCTGTGCCGCTGAGCTACATCCCCAGCTAAAGACTCAAATTCTTGTGGAGCAAACTGACTGTTGAAGAAGTAAAAAACGCTAAGACCAATGTATGCACAGAACAACAATCAAGGCAAAATTAAGGTTTTTTTTTAACGCAATTTTTTTCTTTTGCGGGGAGGGGTTTCCACTAAGTAACCCGGGCTGGCCTCAAATTCGGGATCTTCCTGTATCCTCCTTCCTGCACAGAATTAAAAAAAAAAAAAAAAGTATTACTATCTTAACACGTTAGCAGTGATGTCCGAAAACTGCACAAGCGGCTACTTAATAAAATTTTTGGAAAATCTGTCTTGGCTATCACTTAAATATTAAATCTGATTTCTCAGTATTTCCAAGTGTTTGTAATGCTTTGCCAAAACGCCTAAGACAGGAAAACCACTTAAAATGCATAACCAAAGATGCCAACGGAACGGTGGCTTATAAAAGGTCCTGTACAGTAGCGCAAAAACAAACGTAACGAGTTTCCGAATTCACCCCAGACACGCAGCCTAACGGGAGCCCGTCACGAAGTTCCCCTCTCCCGCTCCGCTGGAGAGACCACTGCAGAAAAACCGGGCTTCTCTCCAGCAGCGGCCTCCGGATACCGAAACTGCTCAACCTTCAAGCCTTTCTTGCGGCCCAGCCCTCAAAAGCAACTGTATCTCACGCTTTCCAGCCTAGAGCTCGGCCTCGTCCTTCCCCGGACCACAAACAACTCCGGTACCTACTACAACCTCACCTACCGCAGCTTCATCCGCTGCGCCTTTTATTATTGCGCCGCCAGCGCAACCCGCGGTCACGTGACAGCGTCCGCCCAATGACCGAGGCCCACGCCTGCCAGACCAGCACCGGCTCTCAGAGCCGGAGCTCGCTCTGCGCCCCGCCCCCGCCGCACGGTGCGCCCGAGCTAAACCTCCTCCGAGGTCCAGGCCCCGTGGATTAAGGGTTCCCACTAAGCGTTGTTTCCCAGCTGGGCCACGATAGAGTGTCCTGATTGGCTTTTTTAGGAGGCACGGTAGGGACCAATTTGAGACAGGGACCACTTCCTGAAGCGCGAGGCAGGAAGTTATCTGGTACTTCTGGAGTGCGGTGGAGAAAGTGCTGTCTGCCGCATTGGTGGCGGCGAGAGCCGGAGGTGGGTTGGGAGAAAGGCCTTTTGGTCGCCCTCCTTCGGTTCCCCCCAGTTAGAAGCAGATTTTCTTCGCAGCACCACGGCCCCCTTGTCCCGTCCTGAGCCCGGCGCGGCTGCCCGGGAGCCTCGGTCGGGTTCCTTGAAGCCGCTCCCAGGGGCACCTACCCTGGCACCGCCTGGGCCACCAGCCGGGGGACTGGCTCCCTTCTCCAGCACTCTGGACGGCCGGCCGAAGTGCCCTTATCGCTCCGCGCCCTGTCCCCTCTCCTCGAACCACCGAGACCCTGGTCCAGAGCGGCTGCCTTGGACTTGGGACTAGAACAGATCCAAAACGCTCAGCCTGGGCCCGCCACAGACGGGCCTCTGCCTCGTCTCTGATATGTCGCCCACCGTCTCCCACAAGGACAGCAGTCGCCAGCGGCGGCCCGGGACTTTCAACCATTCCCTGGATATGAAGACCGGCCCCCTGCCGCCGGGCAGCTGGGACGACAGTCAGTCCGACCCGGTGGGCGGGGAAGAGGACAGGGAAGCGCTTCTGAAGGATGCTGACATCGGTGACTTCTTGAGAGCCCCGCGGAGCTGTCGAGCGGAAATAAGCAGCATTTTGCTACTGCTCTTTCTTTACGTGCTTCAGGGCATCCCCTTAGGCCTGGCCGGGAGCATCCCACTCATTTTGCAGAGCAAAAACGTCAGCTATACAGATCAAGCATTCTTCAGTTTTGTGTTTTGGCCCTTTAGTCTCAAATTGCTGTGGGCGCCGTTGGTTGATGCAGTTTATTTCAAGAGCTTCGGTCGCCGCAAATCTTGGCTTGTCCCTACACAGTATATACTAGGACTCTTCATGATCTTTTTATCCACTCAAGTGGATCATTTCCTCGGGAATACCGATGGCAGAACACCAGATGTGTTTTCTCTCACTGTGACATTCTTTTTATTTGAATTCCTGGCCGCCACTCAGGACATCGCTGTGGATGGCTGGGCTTTGACGATGTTGTCCCGCGAAAACGTGGGTTATGCTTCCACTTGCAATTCGGTGGGCCAAACAGCAGGCTACTTTTTGGGCAATGTTTTGTTTTTGGCTCTTGAATCTCCCGACTTTTGTAACAAATACTTGCGGTTTCAACCTCAACCTAAGGGAATTGTTACTCTTTCAGGTAGTGTATTTTAGCTATTATGCTGTTAGGCTTGTTTTACATTTGTGAATTCTTTTGATACTTTAAGGGGAAGTTCATTATTTAATTCACTGGAAATCGTTGTGGTTAATGACTCGTTATGTTTTCTGTTTCCTTAAAGTGGGCTTCCTTGAAGTGTCAGTAAAGTAAGATGACTACATCGGAGCATTCATAATTGATCAGTACTTCGCAGTAAACAGAGGCAACAGATAAAATAACAAAACCCTGCAATCTCGGGATCCATGGGCACTTCCTTAATATACACATGCACGTTTTTTAAAAGTCTCACTCACGTGGCTCACATTTCCTTTGATGTTTTGGCGGACTGCGTTTTCTAGCACCTTGCCTTCTGATCCGTTTCCACCCCTAATCTTGTGCTAGCAGTCCTCATCTAGTCTGTAGGTGAACAGAGCAGGGTTAATTTATGCAGACGTTACTGAGCTGACTACGTGACAGCATCCTAAGGGCCTCCTACGAGTAAGAGCTCTACCAACAAGGAGTGGGGGAGAGGAACATTTCAGAGGAGCCCAACCTTGCCAGCCAGTGGGCGTCAGGCTTTGCATTGCAGTTAACATCTGACTTCGTTCTCTGCTGGGTTTGGATTGATTTGTTCTTGTGAGTAGCTGTTCCAGTAACTGCAATATGCACTTTGTTCTCTTGCAGAGCCCAAAAGCCACTTTTTAGCCATTCCCCCTTCCCAGTACCAGGGATCAAACCAGGACCTTTGCCCTGAGCTCCATTCCCGGGCTTTTTAAAATTTTGAGACAGTGTTGCTAAGTTGCCCAGGCTGGGCTTGAGCTTCTAATCCTCCTGCCTCAGCCTCCCAGAGTTGGGACTTCAGGTGTGCATCACCAAACTTAATTTAATTTTTATGTAGTGGGCTCCCATCTTTGGTTCAGACATTTTAGTTAAGAGTTAAAGAGTTCTTGTTGTTTTATTCTCCTGTAAATGATTATATATGTCAGATTTATAGTTTTGTACTTTATCAAACTTAGTATTTAGCCATTAAGGTTGGGTTTTTTGTTTTGTTTTGCCTGTTTGTATGTGCGGTGCTCGGAATTGAATCCAGGGCTCGTTCATGCTGGACAAGTGCTCTATCACTGGGCTAAGTCTCCAGCCCTAACCAATGGTTTTGAGGAATTTAAAGAACACAGAAAGAATCACAGGAAGGAAACATAATTAAAGAAGAGCTAAACATTGAGGCATTGTTTAGAAAAGCTGAGCATTAAAAGGAGGCATCATTTTAAAAATTCTAAATTTGTGCTGTGACTACGTTTTGCATGTAATAGGTAAGCAGAGATGGAGTACATTGAGTATATATACTGCCAAAGGGAGTTTACCGTACTGAGAAAGAACAGTATTTAGCATCTGGAAAACAGATAGCAAGTTTAGACCAGGAAGGATAGAAAGTGTAATCCCTTAGAAACAAAGCCTTGATCATGCTGGGATTGTCTTTTTCCTACTTTCACAGATCTGTGACAGTCCTGAATGCAGGAGTAGCTTTTTCTTTCCTTACCCTCTTTGTTTTTCAAGAATCCTTACAGGCAAAGAGAATCTTCTAGGGGGCTGGGGATTTAGCTCAGCGGCAAAGCGCCTGCCTGGCAAGCGCAAGGTCGTGAGTTCGGTTCCCGGTACCGGAGAAAAAAAAAAAAAAAAAAAAAAAAAAAAAAAAAAAAAAAAAAAGAGAATCTTCTAAGCTGCAAAAAAGGTGAAAGTAATGCAGCGGAGCATAAAGATTGGAACATAAAGTTTTGTTACTTGAAAAGATCATGTATTTCAATTTCTTCATTCTTGTAGATGAAGAAACTGAGGTCAAAGTGACAAGTTAGAGGTACATATATATTTGTAGCTTACTCTTCTTAACTCCATATCTGTTTTTCCTATTGTTGGTAGGAAATTAGGAAAAACCTCAAGGAAAACTTGAGACCTAATATAATATGTGCTGACTGGGCTTTTCTACCAGGGAAATGTAGCACTGTGACTCTTGTTTGTTTGTTTTTTTGTTTTTGTTTTTTTTCCGGTACCAGGAATCAAACTCATGACCTCGCGCTTGCCAGGCAGGCGCTGTGCCACTGAGCTAAATCCCCAGCCCCTTGCACTGTGACTCTTGATTTCTAAAAAGCACCATCCCACTCTTAAAATGACTAATTCCCAGAACTGTTATACTAAAAGTTTTTCCCTTTAATGAATTAATTTTTTGGTGGTTTACGGTATTCAACCCAGGGCTTTCACACTGAGCAACATCTCCAGCTCCCTTTTTTTAATTTATTTTGAGTCAGAGTCTCTGACTCTGACTCTCTCTGACTCTCTCTGAGTTGCTGTGTTGTCCAGGCTGGGTTGGAACCTGTCTGAGCCTCCTGTTGTTGGGATTACAGGGGCTCACCATCATGCCCAGCTGTTTTAATTTTTAAATCAGCTTTTGTCATTTATTACTCATCACTGAATGCCTATCTGATGCTAGCTGGGTGATAGGTGTTATAATTTATTACAATATCAGAATGTTCTTCTCCCAAGTAACTCCTAGGTTATTGTGGAGATTTGCAAACCAAAATGACTCTGTGGGTAGATGGATAATGTAAATGAGTCAACAGAGTTGGTGCAAGACTGTAGGAGTTGGAGGGGACAATGAGGACCTAAGAAATTCATACCCTTCTGTTTTTGTGGGTTTTTTGTAATGTTCACTGATTATTTATTTATTTTTGTGTGTATGTGGGTACTGGGAATTGAACTCAGGACCTTGCGCTTGTCAGGCAGGCGCTTGTACCACTGAACTACATCCCCAGTCCTCATACCCTTCTGAAAGCAAGGAGTTTCAATCCAATAAATTCTTGTGGCAGTAGGATTTCAGAATTGTTAGGCCTTTTACATGTTCAACAAAAGCTGTGAAGTCCATTTTTATTTCCTAATTTAAAACACTTATTAACTTCATATAAAACAAATCATTAGGCTATATCCATCCTGTGATCTGGTATTTGAGACTTCTCTAGTAGCAGTAGTAACAATAATGATTAGAAGAAGCTCAATGGGGAGCAGCATATTGGCATTTGGGAGCGGGGTAGCTAGACACTAGAGAAGAGAAGTAAAGGTACTAGAAGGTTCTGTTTTGTTTTATGTTGTCTTGTTTTGTTTTAGGAGTAGGAAAATTTCCTGGAGAAAAGGAATGGAGACTAGGAGTAGCTCCTGAGAGACAGGAGGGGTCCCAAATGTGTTGCCCGATATTAGAGTTTATAGTAAGGTTTTTTGATAGGCTTGCACATGTAATAATCAATCACAGGAAAAGGGTATGTTACTTTGAAAAAGCAAACGCTGTAAGTATGAATCTAATCAAGCTTGTGATGTTAATAAAATAGCAGCTATTTTAAAGACATTCCTGCTTTCAATAGGAAAGAAAGCAAGCTAGGGATTTAGCTCAGCGGCACAGCGCCTTCCTGGCAAGCGTGAGGTTGTGAGTTTGATTCCCAGTACCAAAGAAAGAAAAAATAGAAACAAAGCAGGACCATTAATTCCTACTTAGTGATGATTACTTTGCTTTACTTTCAGAAACAGTTCTCATTTATATATTTTACAACTAGAAATGCTTGTTATAGAATCTCAGCGTGCTAATTGGCCTATTACTGGTTAAACCATTTATTCATTCATAGGCTATAATCCTTTAGCAGTCATATCTAGGCTTGAAACATTACTCTACATTCTCAAAATGACAAAAGTGTAGGGATAGAGGACAGATCTATAATTGCTAGGGGTGTGTGAGGGAGACGTCAGGTGAGTATAAATGAACATATCAGAGAGTTTTGGGGGAGTGGTAGAACTATATCTTAATTGTGGTTATGATTTGAAGTCTATGCATGTTTTCAAATTCATACTATAGTACACAAAAAATTTCACATTTGTATAATCATTTAAGGTAAAATGTATTTTTTAAAAATTAAAAAATCCATTACCTCAAAAATTCATTTCTTTTTATTTTTAATTTTTTAAATTTTTTTAATGTTTATTTTTAAAAGTTCATTTCTAGCTATTACTCCGTATATAGTATGAAATCTTTAAGTTTAGCTCCCTTTTTGCCTTCAGTGGACCCTTTGAACAAATCTGGTAAATCTTACATATCCATGTAGAAAAATGGAGTAAATTTGAATTTATTTTTAAATTTTAAGTTGGGATCCTTGTAGTAAAATGAGATAAGTAGGGGAATGCTGAGGTTAGTAGATTCAGAAGGAATTATATATAAAAAAATCAGAGACCCACACCCGAGAAGGAAGGTCGTAAAGCCTTTTTTCTTTTTAAATACAAAGCAAAGGATAAGTGTAGTATTGTTTGTTTGGTTATGGGAAGAACTAAGGAAATGCTTTTGTGTGGACAGTCTACTTACAAAATATACTGCAAACTTTAAATCCATTTATTTGACATATATCTTACTCTGAATTTCACTTCTAATTTTATTGAGGCATATTTATAGGTCAATTGTATTAGCTTTTAATGTATAAATATATTATGAAAGACTCATAGACCCTCACTAGTTACAAGCAAAGTCCTACTTTGACTGTTCACATGTTCCTAAAAACTATAACTTAATTTGAGAAGACAAAATAGACTATCTAATACAAAGGGCCATTTTGATCCTGGAAAATTAAAAATGTAAAATACAAAATCCTTGTTTTATTCTTTTAGCCACAATTGTAGATAAATCTTGCATTATATACATGCTTTTTAATTTCATTCTTCTCCTTTTCCCTTTTATGTACTGTTCTCCCTGGCTGAAATCCAGTGGTCATCAGTTAAGTTACAGAATAGGTGATTTTAACATGCCTAAAGATTTCTAATTTTTGGCTGGGGATTTAGCTCAGTGGCAAAGTGCCTGCCTGGCAAGCGCAAGGTCGTGAGTTCGGTTCCTGGTACCAGAGAAAAACCAAAAAAAAAAAAAAAAGATTTCTAATTTTTTTAATTGTTTACATTGTCTTACATTGACTTACATTTCTTACTCCTAGCATGATCTTAAAACTTTAATATATTTAAGTTTTCCATTTTTTAAACTTTTTTTTTTTTTAGATAAGGTCTCTCCATGTAGTTAAACTAGCCTTGAACTCACTATGTAGCTCAAGCTGGCTCGAACTTGCAGTGATCCTTCTTCCTCAGCCTCCCACTTGCTGTGATTACAGGCATGTTCCATCACACTAAGCTGTGAAGACATAGCATAGCATCATTCCATCCGAATGGAGATACATGTGCTTACCTAGGGTAAATTTTGTACCTAGCCAGAACATATTTATTTTTTAAAGCCATTCATTTCCATCTATTAAGTAACAGAAGTCCCAGGGTTAGCATGATTTAGGAGAACTGATGCTGTTAGCTCCTTAGCATCAGTCCTTACATTCTGGGCTGAGTGTGAGCCTAGTGTTTTGGTTTTTTTTGTTTTGTTTTGTTTGTTTTTGTTTTTCTTCCAGTACCAGGAATCGCACTCACGACCTTGTGCTTGCCAGGCAGGTGCTGTGCCGCTGAGCTAAATCCCCAGCCCGGAGCCTAGTGTTTTGGAGCAGCATGGCCCATATAGGAAGTCATCTGCTTCATCTGGTGTTGATTTAAAGAAACAATGGTCTTTTCCACCCCTGGAAAAAACCTGATGCTACCGGAGTTAATGAAATGCTATGAGATCTCATATGTGACACCACCCTTAGTGGTTAGGAAATATAAGGAATTCAGAAGGTTTAAAGATTCATTTTGTATTTACTCTATTTTTGCATTAAATGCTATCTTTTAAAAACTTAATCCCTAAGTAAGATTATTACATTGTATAATCAAAACAGCATTTTCTATGAGTTCTCTGCAGCAGGTTAGATATTTTCAGCAAATGCTTAAGAGAAATAATTGTGACATAAAAGAAAGGTTTATTTCTGCTAAGATTCAGCTGGTGACCCAGTACTAGACACACACTACCACTTTCTCTGTTTTCTTTACTGTGAAGTTGAGCGCCTTGAAGTGGATGGTGTGCATCCCAAGTTCCTTCAGGTTCTGTTCAAGTAGAGAGCTGTGCCAAAAGAAGGAGAAAGGAAAGTCAGACACTAATTTAAAACAAAAACTTAACCTTTTGTTTTCCCCTGCATTCAAAACTAAAATGAATTTCCTTACTGTAAGAGACAGCAAGCAGGAGGGAGAACCCAGTCTCAGCCAAGGACATTTGTAACAGACTGTGGACCTAAATTCACCCCGGGCTGGGGATTTAGCTCAGCGGCAAAGCGCCTGCCTGGCAAGCGCAAGGTCGTGAGTTTGGTTCCCGGTACCGGAGAAAAACCAGAAAAAACAAACAAAAAAAAAAATATTTCCACCCCTTCTAACAGTGAAAGAGAGTGACACAGAAGGTCTGAGGGCCTAAACAAAAGCCTTTAAAGTTTTTTGTAAGACTAGTGTTTTACCATAAACATCCCTGGAAATGTTACCTTCTCTACAATATATGTATTAGTATTAAAATATTTCTTTGTAAGTTCATGGATACAATGGATTCTTTCAGAAGATTCGTAGAATTTGTTTATCCTATTGATTGGTATACCCTTTGGGATACCACCAAAGGGGAGATGGCAGTGAGAAGAGGGAGTATGTAGATAGGCACTTTAAAGAAATATAGTCAGATATCTGTGTTTCACACATCATGGTTAGAACTAAAATATATTCCCTTTTGTTCAGGTATTTCTGGATGATAGAAAAGAGCACCTACTTGGTCTGGGTATATCTGCACATCTAGGCAGTATAATGGAAAATATTCTTGCTTTAAAACTAGACCTGAGTTTGAATCCCCCATCTGGCACTTTCTGGCTTGTGATCATGTTTATGTATGAAGTAGGAATAATCCTGTTTTTGTAATTTAATTTTTTTATTTTTAAAGACAAGATCTCACTATGTAGTCCAGGCTGGCCTTGAATTCACTGTGTAATCCAGGCTGGCCTCAAACTAGAGGCAATCTCCTGCCTCAATCTCCCCAGTACTAGGATTACAGGTGTGTGCCACCGGGCCCAGCTTTGTGAGTAATATTCAAGAGTTAAATGAAGTTACCAGAATTTTCAAATGAAAGCTTTAGCTCTGGGAGGTCCCAACAAATCAGGCTCTGCTCCCTGTCCCAAAACACCGATCAAGGAGACTGGTGGTGGTAGACAGCAGGAAAGGGGCCTTAATCAGCATGACCATGCTGGGAAGGATGGATGTGTCTCTGCAGCCAGGTGTGGTGAGAAAATGATATACATAAGATATATTTCGTGTTTATGGCACATGGTATGCACTGAATTAGTAGTGCCTGTAGGCAGGCACAATGCTGCATACCTATAATCTAAGCTAACCTTCAGGAGGTTGAGGCAGGAGAATCACAATTTCAAGGCCAGCTCAGACAACTTAGCAAGACCTGTCTCCAAAACAAATGAAAAAAATGGAGGGCGTTTGAGGATGTAGGCAAACGATAGAGTGCTTGCCTAACATGCTTAAAGCCCTGAGTTCAGGTCTCAGTACCAAAAGAAAAATTAAATGAAAAAATAAAGTAATGCCTCTATTTTTACTATTATTTTTTTAGCTGACTGTTTAACAGACTCTCCCAGACCATTATCCACTCCCACCACTAAATTTGTCCAAAGGTAATAGCTTATGGTCCAGCACTCTTTCACTGAAACAACCCAACAGTACTGTTTGGTCCCCATTCCATACCTAGAGAAGGTCATGCTTAAACAGATTAAAACCATTAGAAAACTTAAAAAGGGGAATCTAATGTAAATAATCATCTGTTGTTTATTGTCTGGCTTGTCATAACAGATGGTATGGAAGTATGACTAGTGGATGCTATAGGATGTGGAAATCATGTCCCACCCCTAGCACTTTCCTGGAATAAAATGACACAATAGGATTTTGTTTCATTCAACTCCGTTATATACGAAATATCCGTAATGCTTTTTTTTCTTGTTAAATGCTGCTTTTTATTTTGGATCTATCAAATGTATGTTTAAAAGTTTAGGATTGTTTTATCTTTTGTGCCTGGAATGATGCCTTGAGCATAATAAATAGGCATCTAAAAGTTTTTTGTTTGTTTTTAAGTTGAGGAAAAGTTTTATACAGAATTATTTAGCATCAATAAAGTTATGTCATTTTAAAAGTTACTTATAGATTTAAAATATTCTTAATTTCAGATTTTCTTTTTTTCTGGGGAACTGTATTTTTAATAACAACAACTTTAGTTGCCCTTCTGAAAAAAGAAAACAAAGAAGTATCAGTGGTAAAAGAAGAAACACAGGGGATCACAGATACTTACAAGCTGCTTTTTGCAATTATAAAAATGCCAGCAGTACTGACATTTTGCCTTCTGATTCTAACCTCAAAGGTAAGAAATTGATAAAACAAATTTACCATTCTGTATGATGATCAATGTCATGGACTGCCTTCAATGACTTTCCATATTGTCAGTTCCTTTTCTATTATCATTAGAATTTAACAATGAAAAACAATATTTCCTGTTTATTAAATGTATTTTAAAAGATATGATCACATCAGAACAATTTCAGAGTAAGCTAAATGTCTTGGGGGTCTTGAAAAGAAAAATGTCAATATGGGAAGAACTTCTAATAACTAAAATTTTAATTAACAATATTAATGCTTGGAATGGAAGTGAATGGCTTTGAAAAGTAATAGCCTTGCATTCTTACATCTGGTAATCTGACCAGCTCCAATGAAGAGAAAAATACGTGATATAATAACCACTGTTAGTCCTTATCATTTTGTTCTGAAACCCTGTATCATTCTTACTGTTTTTGCTTTGTTTTGTTTTTGTCTGTGTTGTTGGCATTTTGCTATTGTGCTTTTTCTTTCAATTCTCTTTAAAATAAAAAAAAGAAAAAGTAATAACTCTCTGCTGTTATAATGAATATACCTTTAATGTTGGGATTAGTAAAATTATTTACTGAGAACAAGATTTACTAATATATGGAAGTGTATCAGTATTAGAAGTCTATTTAAAAATCCATTGAATTTGGTGTTTTGAGACAGTTTTGCTATGTATTCCTGGCTGGCCTGGAACTCATTATGTACCCCAGGCTGGCCCTGAACCTCCTGCCATGATCTTCAGCCCCTAATATTTTTTGAAATAGTTAAAGGAAACAGGTTAAGTGGGATTACTTTTATTCTATATTAAAATGTGTCACAGTTCTAAAAGGCTTTTTTGTGTGTGCATGCGTGTGTCATGCTGGAAATTGAGCCCAGAGTCTTCATAGTGAGCTACATCCCTAGACTTCTGTTTATTTTTGAGCCAAGTTCTTGTTGAATAGCTAAGTCGCCCAGGCTGAGCTCAAACATGATTCTTTTGCTTCGCCTTCCCAGAGTGCTGGGATTCCAGGTGGGCTCCACCATGCCCGGCTAATTTTAAAATGTATATTTTGTTACGTGAGCTATTGCTACTCTTGGAATTAATATTCCCAAACCTAGAAATTTATAGAGTTTTCATTTTATATACTTAAACCTATCTGCATAAACACTTTACAGCTATCTTTTGATAGCCTTAGAGAAAATAACTTAATTGTTGTCAGTGATAGGGAAGGAGAGTTTAGACATACTGAACAGTTCAAGATAATATTATCTCATTACATCATTTAGAAGTTTCCAGGCTGGCCTTGTACTCACTTTGTAGCCCTGACTGGCCTAAAACTTGTGGTGATCCACCTCCCTCAGTCTCCTGCATGCTGGGATTACAGGCCTGTGCTATCACACCTGACTGAAAGCTTACTTGTTAATAGCAACATAATACTCATAGTGAGTTAAATTTGCTATAATCTGCTCAGGCATTTTTCTATTTGTACATTTAATTTGCTTATCTCTTTAATTATAAAAATGCATTGGTGAACATTTTTGTGCATGAGCCTTTATTTGCTATTCTGAATATTTTTCAGTATTTGTAAATAGGAAATTAGTAGGTCAGGGAATATGACTACTAAGTTGTTTTAAAATGTTGTACTAATTTATACTACCCCTAGCAATGTATAACAGGGTACTTTATGTTTTTCTTTATTTGGTACTGGGAATTGAACTCAGGACCTTGTGCTTGCTAGGCAGGCACTTGTGCCACTGAGCTATATCCCCAGCCTTAAAGAGGTACTTTAATTACAGAGGTGATAATCCTATGTTGTCCTTTTAAAGTAAACATTTCTCATAATTTTTAATACTGTAATTAATTTTCCTTAAGTTTTATATAAATGGACTGCAATATATAATCTTTGCATAGTTTGCTCATATTTTTATTTATAACAATAGTTTGTTCATTTTGTGGCTGTACAATATTTCACTGTATGAATATGCCACTATCCATTCAGCCAACAAATGTTTAGATCTATTATGAATAGTGCTTGTGTAACATTCACATACATGACTTTTGTTGGACATAGTCATGTATTTCAGATAGGTAAATACATAGGAGTGGAATTATGGGCCCATAGGAAATGCATAGAATATATTGCCAGTTTTCCAAAGCTATTGCAATCTTTCGTACCTTTAGCAGTGCGAGTTGACTGCATTATATCCTTAGAAACATATACCATCTTTTTTTTTTTTTTTTTTTTGTCTTTTTGAGACAGGGTCTTGCTATGCAGTTCAGGCTGACCTTGAGCTTACTTTGTAGCCCAGGCTGGCCTCGAACTCACAACAATCCTCCTGCCTCAGCCTCCCAAGTGCTGGGATTACAGGCGTGTGCCACCACGCCCAGCTCCTATCTTTTAAATATCAGCCTTTCTAGGGAGTGTGTAGAGGCATATTGTTATCGTTATGATTTACATTCTCCTGATGATTAAAGAAGTATGAGTATCTTTTCATATTATCACTGGTCATTTGAATATTCAGAGTAGCCTTTTTCTTAATATTTGTAAAAAATTAACATATTTTGGATATAAACGTTTTAATATGTATATTACAAATATCTCCTAGCATACAAATTTTTTTTTTTTTTTTTACAAATTTTAATGAATGATAAAGTCTATTTGGCTATCTCATTTTTACAAAGAAAATAGATAAAATATAAGTAAAATTCTTTGCTGGACTGTACTGAAATATTCCTGACTTTTAATGTATTTCAGTGAAATATGCTCTTTGGTACCATTCCAAGAAGTTGAAACATATACCAATTTTATTTTTTAAAAATATTTATATAATTTTACACTTACTGAAAATTTACTAATGGAAAGAACTTCCATGTATCCTTCATCAAAATTTTAAATTATTAACAATTAGTTCTAGTTCTTTATTCTATAGATTTTCTCTTCTCTATGTATGTATCCATATTTCTTCTGAAATATTTCAGAGTAATTTGCATATGCACCCATTAAAACCTGTTTCCTGTAAACAGGTTTTAGGAACTTAGGAAACCACTATCCAAAATTTTGGAAATTTAAGATTGGTAATATTATCTATTCACTGCCTTATCAGAGGTTTACCAGTTGTAGCAATGACAGCGTTTATAACTTTATTTTTTTCCTGGCCAGGGATCCAATCAAGAATCACGCGTTACATTTGGTTGGTATGAGCCTTTCTTTGTTTTTCATAACCTTGACATTGTTTAAGGATTCATTCCAGTTTGGAGGCTAGATGTGGAACTCAGTGGTAGAGTGCTTGGCTTGTATGCACCAAGTCCAATCTTCAACACCACACACACACCAAAAAAAGGAAGAGCAGAAGCAGAACAAACAAACAAAAGCCCCAAAAAGAATACATGGCAATTTTTCTGTAGAATGGCTTTTCATTCACATTGGTCTCATTTTGTCATGCTTGTGTTCAGGTTATGTATATGTGGCAGGCATATCACAGAAGTACTATTTTGATGTCTTAAGGGAATTCTAGAAGGAGCCACACTATAACTCTCTATCCCCTTAACTATTGTTTTTGACTCGTTTACTTTGTTAGTCATTGCAAAGGTGACTATAAAAGGTGACTACCTTTTATAATTAAAAACTAATTTGGGATGAGAGTAGAACATCATGGTAAAGCCGTTGCCTAGCATACTGTTGACCTTGGGTCATTAAAAAAAATCCACTAATTTATGAGTAGATACCTTGAGACTACCTAAATACCTCGTTTACTTCAGATTTTTACCCACTACTTTTATCATCCTTACTTTTTCATTATTGTTTGTAAAACTGATCTAACTATAGTATTTCTTCCCCATTTTATTCAACCTCTGCAATAATGTTTTCTTAGAATTACTTTAAAAACATCAGATGGCTGGGCGTGGTGATTCACCCCTGTAATCCCAGCACTTAGGAGGCTGAGGCAGGAGGATCAGTGTGAGTTCCGGATCAGCCTGGGCTACAAAGTGAGCTCAAGGTCAGCCTGAACTGCATAGCAGACCCTGTCTCAAAAAGACAAAGAAAAGAAAATGACCTTAGGAAATTTCATTATGATCTCTCAGAAATTATCAAAAACATATATATATGTATGTGTATGTATATATATATATATATATATATATATCACTTACCCAGAATTATTTAAGGTTAATTACTTTTAGACTTGAGAATTTTTGACACATTATTATAACAGGTTGGACTTTTTTGAAGTGGAAATTTAGTTTTAATTAGACCATTACATAAATACAGGTAGTAAATTTTTTGTTGTTTTTACTAAATATCATTAGTTAAGATATAGGGCAGAATATGCCTTCTATAAATTGTTTTATCAGATATAACAGTATGATGCTTGTAGCTGTCATGAGTCAACAGTGAAATTGATGGTTCTTAAAGAATACTTGTAGGAAAACATTTTGTAAGTCATAAATTAAAATACTTTTCTGTTTTTGTATTACAGGTTGGTTTTTCAGCAGCAGACGCAGTAACAGGACTGAAATTGGTAGAAGAGGGAGTGCCTAAAGAACATTTAGCATTACTGGCAGTTCCAATGGTTCCTTTGCAGATAATATTGCCTCTGATTATCAGCAAATATACTGCCGGTCCCCAGCCACTAAACATATTTTACAAAGCCATGCCCTACAGGTAAAAACTAAATAAAACCATATTAAAGTAAGAAATCTTACAATAAGGGACATTCATCATTATCACTAAAATCTGAGTATAGAGTGTATACAGAAAAAGGCTTCGAGAACATCCTTAATGTCAGTGTCCTCTGTATGCACTTTTATCTCTTTAACCTCCTAACAGGTTTAGATACAGGCTTCTTTCTTATGATTGGCACACAGATTTCTGTTTTGTTGTTGTTTAACCTGAAATGAAAATTAATATGGTGCTCCTTTTTCTACAGATTATTATTTGGATTAGAATATGCTCTGCTAGTTTGGTGGACTCCTAAAGTAGAGCATCAAGGAGGATTCCCTATATATTACTATATTGTAGTGCTGCTGAGTTATGCCTTACATCAGGTAAGCTTGCTGTGGCTTTTGTAGGAGGTAAACTGTTCTATGTCAAAGAAGAAATTTTTTTACAGCTGCCTTTAAATAATGTTAAATTTTAGATTTAATCATAATGACGAACTGTATGTCTTTGGCTTTTGATTTCATGAATTCTGTTTATAGAAAGGGAGTTGCTTACTTATTCATTCCCTCCTTTAAAATTTTTCCTTCAACAAGAATTTGTTACATATTAGAATTGATTTCAAGCCAACTAATTTTACTCTTGCTAAGTATCCCTCAGTCTATCTGTAGATCTGGGTTGCTTCTTCAATTGCTAATACCTTTTCTTCCTGAAAGTATTGAGAAATAATCATGGCTACTAGGTAAAGATCCCAGGCTTTGGTTTAGATTGGTCGCTGAAAGTGACCACTTAGTCTTTGTAATTTTAGTTTTGGGTTTTTTTTGTTATTTTGTTATTTGGGTTTTGTTTTTTTTTTTTTTTTTTTTTTTTTTTTTTTTTTTTGGTTTTGGTCTTTTCTCCAGTACCAGGAACCAAACTCACGACCTTGCTTTTGCCAGGCAGGCGCTGTGCCACTGAGCTAAATCCCCAGCCCCTATAGTCCTTGTAATTTTAGAAGCTGCTTTTTCTGTGTAGCTTCTTTTTCTTTGTAGCTCCTAAAGGAAGTGATCTCCACTTTTCTTTAGCCTCATCTAAACTCTTACTGCAGAATGAATTGTGATTCAAATAAATAGCAGAGGCCCAGAAGTAATTCTGGTACTCAGTAGCATTTATTGCTAATGTGTGTTTCACCTTGGGTTTTTCTTTGGGAACTAGTGTAAACCCTTTGAAAGTTATATTTGCTTCTTACTTAGTTCTTAACTTAAAATGTGGCTAATGGCTAATCTCAGTAGTTTGTTTGTTTTGCATACAATTAAATTACAATCCGTAGTGGATGTTTGATTATACCATATATTTTTTAAATTGAGGCTGGGATATCAAAAAGTTTTTGTTTTGCCCACTGTTAATGCTAGGTACCTAATAGAAGTTAAAAGAAGTATGTTCAGAGGTATGTTCAATTTTTCACTGTTTTAGATAAAGAAAAACTAGGTTGTTATAGTCCAAACAGTATTTAGCTTTAGATTTCATTAGAGAATCTACCAAAATGTAATCAGAGAATTAAACAACTAAATGCTTTATGAGAAAAGGATACAAGACCAAGTAAATTTGAGAATGATGTATTATGTAACTCCTTGGTAAGTAGCACCTTAATCATTCCTTTAAAAAATATTAAACAGCTGGGCACGGTGGCACATGCCTGTAATCCCAGCACTTGGGAGCTGAGGCAGAAAGATCGTTGCGAGTTCAAGACCAACCTGAGCTACAAAGTGAGCTCAAGGCCAACCTGAACTGCATAGTGAGACCTTGTCTCAAAAACAAAACCAAAAAAAACCATAAAAAATATTAAGCAGACACCCATTCCATGCTAGAAACTTCTGAGTACACAAATGTAGCTAAATTAAGATGTGTTATGTACATATACTAACTCCTTACGAGGAATGTGATCATTTTGTATTGCAACATGCAAATGCAAACTAATAAAAAAAGGTTGAAAACGTAAGTCAGGGATATAGCTCAGCAGCACAGCATCTTGCTTGGCAAGCGCAAGGTCCTGAGTTCTATTCCTGTGCAAAAAAAAAGAAAACATAATTTGCTGAGACAAAGTAGCACACAGTTTACAAAAAAATGAAATATGTGATATTCTGTAAAAATAACTGAATAAATTGTGCCAAAATCCTTACTTTCTCAAGGAATTTGTATTCCAAAAATTGTCAGAAGAAGAACCCTTTTGTATTTTGTGTGACCTGGTATCTCTCCATCTTATTTGACTTTGGAACTCCTTTTCTGTGGACAACTCCTAGATCAGAACTTAAAGGGTACTGTTTTAGAAACATGGTTTGTTTCCACCTTCATAAGTAGAAAGTTAATTTTTGCCTGTAAGCAATTTTTTGTTATTTTAGTACTGGGGACCAAACCAGGGTTTCTGCACTGAGCTATGTCTCCACCTTTGTTTATTTTTTTTGAGACAAGTTCTTGAATTGTGAGCCTCCTGTTTCAGCCTTCCAGAGCGCTGGAGTTACTGGCATGTGCCACTGCACCCAGCTACTTTTTGTCTTTTAAGAAGGTTTTTCTTAGGCTGAGAATATAGCTGAGTGGTAGAGCTCTTGCTAGAATGCAAGAGGCATCGCTACTACAAAAAAAAAAAGTTTTTTAGTATTCCTTTGCTACATAAAGTTTGAAATGTTATTTTTCTTCTGTATACATAGGAGAAAAACTATATTCATTTCCTTGAGTGTTTCTGTATATTATTTACATATTATATATATGTGGCTGCAATGCAGATACCAAGCTTTGCTTTTTGTATTTGCATCCTTCATGTCACCTTACCTGCCCCTTTCTGTTGCACGTTCTTTGACTACTCACAGTGGAATTCCTAAGATACTTACTGCATTTTACCGTAAGTATTTATTCCCTTCTTTCCTAGCCTCATGAATTCTTCAGAAGCGCAGACTTTCTTACTCATCTTTGTACTGCCATGATCTTAAAGCCTCACTTTCACTATGTGTTCAATACATGTTTGCTTATTAGCATGTGTGAAATACTGGGTTCAATCCCCAGCACCAAAAGAAAAACCAAAATGATCTAACGACACTAAAGATGTTTTACATTTTTCTGTAGGTTACATTGTACAGCATGTATGTTTCTATAATGGCTTTCAATGCAAAGGTTAGTGATCCACTCATTGGAGGAACATATATGACTCTTTTAAATACTGTGTCCAACCTGGGAGGAAACTGGCCATCTACAGTTGCTCTTTGGCTGGTGGATCCCCTCACAGTGAAAGAGTGTGTAGGGGCCTCCAACCAGAACTGTCGAACTCCTGATGCTGTTGAGGTAAGCATGTTTTAATTTTAGATAATACTAAGTGAAAATTAAGATATTCATTTCTTTGTTTACCTCTAAAAATACTATATCTTATTTAAAAATTGTATCTGTTCATAGTGTCTAGTGCAGAAATCTATGAATACCCCTGCCCCATCATAACTACAGGTTACAGCATTTCAGTATCAGCAAGGCTAGCTCACTTAAAGGTGCATCTCAGCAATGGAGGAGGACTCTCTTTCCCCGACCCTTAGGATCTCTGCTCTTTTGATAAATGCATAAATAAGGCTAAGTTTGTAATGACAGAAAAGGGAAAATTCCAGTGGCTATTCATGTAACTAAAAAAGACTGGTAAGTGGTTTGTAGATAAATTATTTTAAAGTATCATTAGTTACTTCCACAGTGAGTTCCTTGAAAATTTCTTTACATTTCCAGATATGAAAAGCTGCATTTTGAAAATGAGTATTGTTTACATCAAGAGTTCAGAATTGCTTTTAATCCTGTTAATAGCCCACCATGGTGGCACACACCTATATCCCAGCAGTTAGGAGGCTGAGACAGGAGGATCATTACAAGTTCGAGGCCAGGCTGGGCTACAAAATGAGCTCAAGGCCAGCCTGAACTGCATAGCGAGACCTTGTCTCAAAAAGGAAAAAAAGAATTCCTGTTAATAGCTTTAATGATGAAGATACATTAAAATATTTTGTCATTTGAAGTGAGTGAAGTATTGAAATATTTTAAGAAATTTTTAAGCCTTTAAATTGCAAAATAGAAGCATCAATTTCTGAAGTCATTTTGAAATTGTGAAATATTCATTATAATTTAATTTTTACAGCTTTGCAAAAAACTTGGTGGCTCATGTGTTACAGCGCTGGATGGTTATTATGTGGAATCCATTATTTGTGTGTTTATTGGATTTTGTTGGTGGTTCTTTCTTGGACCGAAACTTAAAAAGTTACAAGACGAAGGACCATCTTCATGGAAGTGCAAAAGGAGCAATTAATGCATAGACTGTTGAATGTTCTAGAAGGTAATTATAGTTTGGTTTTAATTCAGAGAACTGTGATAATCAGCACACAGGAATATCAAATATTATTTTAAGCAAGGAAATTACTAATATAAAATGCCAAATGGTTGAAAAATAGAAACTTTTCAGTATGTTTGTTCATATTTTTCCTTTGCCTTGTCAATGTATTTAAAGTTTACTTAAGGTCAGGAAATTTGTTCTCAAACAACTTTTCTAGCCTTGTTATTTGGTTTGTCTTTTTAATTTACTGACCAAAGCATGTTTTGAGCTGCAGTGTCGTAGTCAAGGGTGATAACTGTATAGTCAAGTATTGTTACCAGTGCCTATCATTGAACTGTATTTAAATTTTGGCACAGTATATTAAATAGAAGAGAGCTTGATATTCAAGAGCTAACTACAGCTAATCTGATCTTGTTGGCCGTTAAAAATTTTCTTTTGAATTGTAAATTTGTTAAATTTCATGTGGAACTGCTGCAAATAGATTGTAGACTACCGAAACATCATTTAGTTGATTTCTGACCATAACCATATTGCACAAATGAGTCTGTGTGAAAAAGACTATTTTAAATGTATTCCTGCTTTTGTAAGCATTAAAGATTTATAAGAAGATAATTTAAACTATTTTTTATAAAATGAAAGCTACAATTTTTTTAATTTATTGATTTCCCCTACCCTGCCCCCCTTTTGGAAGATATTTTGATTCTTTGTTGACTTTTACCCTAACAGTTGTGTACGTTTTTGTCACAAGTGCTTCATGACGCAGAGACAGCCAAGAAGGGGATCAAACTTAGTGTTGTATGTATGTTCATGGCAAAGTTTTGAAAATAAAAATTGAATGTCATTCTTCAAGTACTTTTTTTAATTACTAAGAAAAATATTACAGTTTTCCAATTAAATAAATTGAAACAAGTAATATAATTAATAAAAATATTTTAAAGAGATGGAGAGACATTTTGTGCCTTTGACAAATTAAGTCATGTAGTAGAACATCTTAATTAAGCACTTTATTAGTAAAAATGATCTCATATACTTTATGCCAAATCAAGTACTGTGCTTTATCTTGTCTATTTAAAAGCAACCTTCTGTTGGTAAACTGTGGTTTCCAATGGCAAATTGCTATTCCAGGAGTGTAAGGTTTTGAGCAGATTGGCAATTTTCAACATTTTACACCCAGTATGATAAAGTTCTTTGCATATTTTGTGTTAAGTATTACTCTGACTCTTTAGAAATTATATAAATCCTTTAAAAGTTAGGGAAAAAAGATTCATTTGTGAGTTCTAGTTCATGTTATCTTTGTGGGAAAATACATACTAACTCCTGATTTTATTAATTTAATAATGTAGGTTGAATTTTAGAGCAGGGCTTTTATAAATAATGGAGAATAAGCAGGGTGGGAGAAAAGGGCACACAGCGTCTGAAGGAAGACGGGGCAGTGGCCCCTACAGCTCATGCATTACCGCTGGGAAACCTATGTTGGGTATGGAAGTCAGACTGTGAAGAATCCTCAGGAAAAATACTCATCCTAGAGGCAAGGAGGCAGCACCAAACCACAGACTACAGTCCGTTGTCACGTGATTTTCCACTCTCATGTATTATAATCAAAATATTTACTTGAATAAAGAGAAACTCACTTAACTCACATGTGGAATGTATTCTGATTTTCTAAAAAGCCCATTGTCATAATCACCTTTTATTTCTTCACATTCATATTATTTCAAGTTAAACATGTTTTCAAACATAATTTAAGTCTATATCTTTTTAGTGACTTTGAAGTTTTAAAATATATGTAGCTTTTAACCATAAGATGAAAGCCATTAATTGCCTTTGTTCTAAAAATGAACAAAAAATTTTTTGACGTACTCTTGTTAATTTTGATAAATGTTTGTCATGCGTGCCAAAATGACTTGTTAAGAGCTATGTGCAGCTGTGTTGCACACATTAATTACTTTGACTGTTAATGGAATTTAAAAATTATCTATCTAAATTTATCATTGTAAATCAACAGTACTAGAAAATACTACTTTAGAAAATACTTCCTTATTTTTATGTGAGGGGAATTTTTTTTTGTTTTGTTGTTGTGACCAAGTATGGACATTAATTTCTTCTGTGAATGCATTATTTACTGACTGGCTAATATTAGATTGAACATACAGTGTATCTCTTTATGTCAGTATTTCCATGAATACACTTGTTATAACGTGTGAGCATGTATACATTAGAGTTTTAAAAGTTCTAAGATTAGCTAACACTAAAACCAAAAACTCTGTCCATTGTAAATATTTTCATTTTGCCTGATCAATCACAAAAAGTTTATGTAATACGTAGATTTCTCTAGAATTTTTTATATTAAACCTTTGAAATCTAAACCTGTAACCTAAAGCTTTGTTGGATTCTCTCTCTTCATTAGGAGAGTTTTTAGCCGCTGAAGAGATTTCGGTGAAACCCCTGAATTGCTTATAAAATGTAAAAATTAGGATATGTAATTTCAAATTTTGGACCATAGCTGTTGTTACAATCTTCAAGGGCTGTGATCTAAAAAAATGTAACAACCATGGCCTTTAATGTTGTCTCTGCTTTGAATTTTAGTTATAAATGTGAAATAATAGTGGTAATATTGTATGTAGCATTTTGAAAGAATGTCAAAAGAAAAAATCTATCATGAGAATTAGAAAATCTCTGCATTTGTAGTATTGAATTTAAACTTTGAAGTAGTTAGAGTAGATGAGATATTACTAATAGAAGAGACAGCATAAGGATGAATTATATTCCGCAAAAGACAGATTAGTCATTTAACCATTTATTCTCATGAATTACTTTTTTTTTCTTTGTGTACCAGGGATTGAATCTAGGGCCTCACACATACTAGGCAAGTTTTCTCCTACTGAGCTACATCCCCAGTGCCTGTGAAGGACTTTTATTTTGTCTTGTTAATAGAAACCCAAAGGACTATTTTGCTTTGTATTAAATGTTTGAAATTATTATTTAATATAACAGATGACCAAATTTGTTTTTATATTTTAGGGAATCTTGCTTTTCCAAGCAGTTGAAAGAGTGAGAAAAGGTACACAGATCCAGCTAAAAATATACATCTTTGGGAACAGACTATGCAGATTTCCAGAGAAAGAAAATAAACTTTAAAAAAATTTCCATTATGACTAGGAGTAATATATTTAAGAAGAACCAACTTAGTTATAAAAGGGAAGGTGATATTGTTTGTATGTTATTAATCACTGAGACTTTTCGTAAACCCATGTCTTTAGTAGATAGTAATGCATGATTATTTTGTTTTCTCTTAAATGTAAAATACGTATTATAAGGCTATGTACTTTTCCACGCCTGAATTAAAAGGAACAAAATTTTAATGCAATTACTATTGATTTGGTAATGATAACCTTTTCATTTTCTACAGGTCAAAACATATTAGGGTGTTCATTTTACTCTAGTTTGTTAGCAAGGTATAATAGGGACAGAAAGCTATTTTTTTCTTGCTGGAACTCTGCCCTGATGGAGGCAGATCCTGTAGCTGGACAGGATTCTTTCCTTCTCCTTAAGCAAATAAGAACTTAAATTTGACTATTGGATTATAAAGGTTGCTCTCAAGGAGATCTGTCTACATTTTATGTATCATAATGAAAAGTCTATGATTAATCATATTTACTTTTTAAAAACATGTTGCCGCCTGGGTGTGGTCATGCTACCCAGCTAGTAATTGTAATTTTTTTTTTTTTTTGGTTTTTCTCCGGTACCGGGAACCGAACTCACGACCTTGTGCTTGCCAGGCAGGCGCTTTTGCCGCTGAGCTAAATCCCCAGCCCCTTAGTAATTGTAATTAATCCCAGCTACCCAGGAGAATGAAGCAGGAAGATCGAAAGTTCTGTCCTAGCCTGGGCAACATAGGGCTTGACCCTGTCTCAAGAATAAAAAATAAAAAAAGGCTGGGCGATAGCTCAGTGTCCTGGGTTCAATCTTCAGTATTATTTAAATTTTTTTTTAAATTTTATTTTAATGTACTATAAGTAGAAATTAATTTAAAAATATTTAAAGCATTCTATGAAAAAATAAAATTTCATACCAAAGTAATTAGGGAGTAACAATAGTTAATACACTGTATCATAATCTTTTTTTTTTTTTTTTTTTTTTTTTTTGGTTTTTCTCCAGTACCGGGATCCAAACTCACAACCTTGCACTTGCCAGGCAGGCGCTTTTGCCGCTGAGCTAAATCCCCAGCCCCTGTATCATAATCTTAAAAGAATGCCCAAAATATTGCTTAGAGTCTATACTAATGAGACAAAGAAGACTCTCACAAGAAGAACCAAACAGATAAAAAATTCGAACTTAACCTAGCAACCTAAGATACCTGTCTCTAACAAAGGGGATTGTGGTATATAGATTTGAGACCCTGGGTTCAATCCACAGTACTTAAGAAAAAAAAATTACCAGTGCTATTCATTTGCCTAGCTCATATGATGTCCTGAATCATTTAGAAAAAGATTGCTATGTTTTAATATCTTCCAATTGTCAGTGTAGGCAATTTAACTTTATAACAACTTTGTGTGAGGAATAATGTTTACCAAGACTGACATGAACAAATACCAGTGTAATTTTTAGAGAATTGTCATAAGGCTCTAAATTTAATCCCTGGTTAGTTACAATTAATTAGTTCACTAATAACAAAATATAAATATTGCAGCCTCTTATTTTCCTTCAAATGACCTTACAAGTTTGCTTTTATAGTTATAGTTCATGAAATTGAAATTTATTACACATACTTATTAAATTAAGAATATATAAAATTGGAAAAAAATTTGATATTTTAATGAGGTAGGAACATTTGATAAAGTGACAAATTTCCAAAATTCAGTTATACTGGAGTGTTTATATCTGTCATCCTCGGGCTTCACAAGAATCAATGGTGAGAAAAAAAGAAAAAGGGATGAATGGGGAGTGCTGGAGACACAGGTTAATGGGAGAATGTGTGCCTAGCATGTGCAAGGCCCTGGGCTCTGTCCCTAGTGACACCAAATTTTTTAAAAAGATATGAAATTGAAAAAAGTACTCAATTTTGAAAGCTGTTACGGTTGAAACTGTTGTTGTTGTTATTATTATTATCATTATTTTATTATTTTTATTTTAGACCGATTCTCACTATGTAGTTCAGGCTGGCCTTGAACTCATTATGTAGCCCAGGCTGACTTCAAACAGCAGTCCTCCTGCCTCAGCCTCCCAAAAGCTGGAATTACACTTGTGTGCCACCATGAAAACTGTTACTAAATTATTGCACCCATGCACGTATTTGAATTTAAAGATGCACAGCACATAGTCACTTGTGTTACCATTTTTGGAAATACAGCATTACTCTTGATAGTTTATTTGGTTAATTTATTAAAAGATGTGCATTAAAACTTAGTATTCTGCAGTGTTTTTAAGTATTTGGTCATATTTGGAAATCTCCAGGTTTTAACATAATTATTTAAATACTCAAAATGATTATTACACAATTGATTTCTAAAAAACTTTGTAAGAATCTTTGGTTTATGTTTTGTATTCTAGTAACTACTTTTAGGATAACAATACACAGTGCAATAAGTATTATTCTCTTATTTGCTTATGAGACTTTATTTTTCCTAAAATAAAAAAATTTTAAAAATAAAGCATTAATGAAGCATCTTGTTTTCATTTTATTAAGTAATAGCTAAATTTACCTTAAAATTACCTGTTTTAAAACTGCAGTAGATTGGCATTATATAACCGCTGCCAACTATACACTATACTAATTACAAGTGAGATACACATACTACCAAACTTTTTTTTCCTTTTTTGTATGAAGTCATTCTCAATTATTGTATCTTTCATTAGTAACCTGAGCAAATGGGGGAACAGGTACATGTATGACATTTTCTTTTTACAAAGAGATGATACGTGGACAATTTGGAATTTTAAGGGATTCGTGCATGCCTGTAATCCCAGCCCTCTGGGAGACTTAGCCAGGAGGATCTCAAATTCAGGGCCAACCTGGGTGTATCAGGCTCATTAGAGAAACATTTAATGCAAAAGGGCACTGTGCCCTGGAGATCCAGGGGATCCAGTCGGAAGTCAAAGGTCCTGAGCTCACACTAGACGCACGCAAGCGAAAGGTCTGCACGGGAAGCCTGGAGGCTGAGGTCCAAAGGCCATGGTGAAGACCAGCACTCCTCCAAAGAAGCAAAAGTGAGTCTTTCTTCTTTCCCTTTTATTCCATTGAGTTTGCAAGCCTGGTGCCCCTCACACTCGGGGTGGGTCTCCCTTCTTCAGTAAGTCCATCGTTTAGTAAGTCCATAGTTAACAAAACTGAACTGTCACACAGGGCTACATAGTGACTTTGCTCAGAACAAAGCAAGATTCTGCCACCGCCCCACCTACAAAACAAAATTTCCTGAGGAATTTTATTACAAAATGTCATGTATTTTATATTTGAAACATTTGTGTTTTGGAACTGGCCTCTGGGGGTTACAGTTTTAAAGGACAGTGTGGAACTGTAGAGAAAATATTTTGTGTTTCTGTACAGTTAGGTCTTTCTGAGCAAGTTATACTGAAATTTGGGACCAATGCTGGAAAGAAGCCTTTGAAATTAAACACTGTCTGAATAAATAATGAGAAAGC